CCCAGCTGAGTTTCGCAGTACCTGTGGAGCGGGCTGATACTGCCACCTTGGGGAAGACTCCTTCCACGTACTTCGAGAAGCCTAAGCAAGTGTCATATACATCAGTTTGATTTTTTTCCCTGTCATAACCTCCCAGGAAGACAACTTCTTAAAATCCTCTGCCTGTGCTGTTGCAAGACCTTCCAAATGTGTCACAACTCAGGCTGTATTACATTCCTAATAACACTGGAAATAAATGCCTTTTTTTGTGAGGAAGTTTGCTTAGCGATGTTTTAGATATCATTAAGTAGTGACTCATTTATACTACTCTTAATTTTACAGTCATCTTGCCAACATAAAAGCCCTGTTCTGCATCCAGCTGGGCACACTGTATTTTGCATACAACACCCCTTCGCTTCTAGGATTCTAGCTTTCTTGGTAGTCTAAATTCTTGCCCATGCACAGCTTAAATTATTTCCTTTGCAGGCTGCTGGCTCAGTTAGATGCGACTGCTAGGACATGCACTGCCTTGGATGTCCTGAGAGGCATTCTGGTACACGGGAACAGTCTGACGAAAAGTACAGAGCTAGATTGTCACAATTTAACCGAAGTCAAGACTTCTAGGCAAATTAAAGGAAGCATCTGGATTTCATCTTCGCAATATCTAGTTTTATGAGACCGACCTACCTTCTTGCTTTGCAAGTGAGTCACCCCCCATCCAGCTGTTTTTGAGTCTCTATTCACTAGCAAATAAAGGAACCCTGCTATACACTTTATATATAAATATGACTTGACAGACAAAGGCTGTGCACAGCGCTGAGCTGCAAGGCTTTTTACATTGGAAACTATCAATTGCCTCGGCTACGCATACAACACAGGAAGAGATCTAAAGTCTCACCTCTTACCAGAATAGGCAGGCTCAAAAGCAGGGAGCTGTCTGAAAGCAACTAACTTGTCTATGTGCTCTTAAAGACATACAGCAACAAAATTCTTACACAGCCATCTCAGTCAAGTAACACAAATGAACTCATTCATGATGAGTGATGTACATTTACACGAGGAGGCTGTGAAGGCACCACTAGCTCCCACCCTCTGCAAAAGCACTGGTTGTGCTTGTGGCACCACGGCGGGAGACAACAGGCTTCTAGAGGAACTGAAGTCTCACTCCACTGCTGTGGCAGGCAGGAACAGCCCTGCTACTGTGGTAAACCAATACTTCCAGGCTCCCACATGGACCTACATTTTGGGTGACAACGTGCCCAGCAGAATCACAGAATCACAGAATAGTAGGGGTTGGAAGGGACCTCTGTGGGTCATCTAGTCCACCCCCCCTGCCGAGCCTGTTCCAGTGCTCCGTCACCCTCAGAGGGAAGAAGTTCCTCCTCATGTTCAGACGGAACTTCCTGTGCCTCAGTTTGTGCCCATTGCCCCTTGTCCTGTCACTGGGCACCACTGAAAAGAGCTTGGCCCCATCCTCCTGACACCCACCCTTCAGATATTTGTAGGCATTTATAAGGTCCCCTCGCAGCCTTCTCTTCTTCAGGCTGAACAAGCCCAGTTCCCTCAACCTCTCCTCGTAGTGGAGATGCTCCAGTCCCCTCACCATCCTTGTAGCCCTCCGCTGGACTCTCTCCAGTAGCTCTTCATCTTTCTTGAACTGGGGAGCCCAGAACTGGACACAGTACTCCAGATGAGGCCTCACCAGGGTAGTGTAGAGGGGAAGGAGAACCTCCCTCGTCCTGCTGGCCACACTCTTCTTGATGCACCCCAGGATCCCATTGGCCTTCTTGGCAGCCAGGGCACACTGCTGGCTCATGGTTAACCTGTCGTCCACCAGGACACCCAGGTCCCTCTCTGCTCTCCAGCAGGTCCACCCCAAGCCTGTACTGGTGCATGAGGTTGTTCCTCCCCAGGTGCAGGACCCTGCACTTGCCCTTGTTGAACCTCATCAGGTTCCTCTCTGCCCAGCTTTCCAGCCTATCCAGGTCACGCTGAATGGCAGCACAGCCTTCTGGTGTATCTACCACACCTCCCAGTTTGGTGTCGTCAGCAAACTTGCTGAGGGTACATTCTAACTCTTCATCCAGGTCGTTGATGAAGAAGTTAAACAAGACTGGGCCCAGTACTGACCCCTGAGGGACACCACTTGTCACCAGCCTCCAACTAGACTCAGCGCCGCTGATGACAACCCTCTGAGTTCTGCCATTCAGCCAGTTCTCTATCCACTTCACCGACCACTCATCCAGCCCACACTTCCTCAGCTTCCCCAGGAGGATATCATGGGAGGCTGTGTCGAAAGCCTTGCTGAAGTCAAGGTAGATAACATCCACGGCTCTCCCTTCATCTACCCAGCCAGTCATGTCATCGTAGAAAGCTATCAGATTGGTCAGGCATGATTTCCCCTTGGTGAATCCATGCTGACTACTCCTGATAACCTTCTTTTCTTCCACTTGCAGGACCGGGTTCTGGAAAGCACCTTCCTCTCTTCCTCCCACCACAGCCAGCCTGCATACCAGATGCTTGCTCTCACTGTAATGACACATACCTTAATACCCTTGGAGCAAGCATGTGCCTCCAGCCACCTGGGATTTACAGTCAGAGTGCTGGCTTACCTAAACCTTTCCTAGTGAAGAAGCAGGGGTCACTCCACTCATTTGTTCTGTTACTAGAACCTGGTCGTCAAAGCACAAGATTGTATTCTTCTTCCACTAAGGCACAGGAGTTCAAATCAGTCACTTTCCCACTTGTGAGAAATTGTCTAAAAAGCAAGTGATGAGTCCTTTCCGGACAATCTTTTATCCCTGGTTTTAATGCTACTAAAGCCTGGCAAAGAATGATGCTTGCAAGAGAAATGTATCAGGCTATCAAGCCAACAGTTAATGCACATGACTGGCAGTGGTGCAAGCCTTCAGTTCTCTTCCTGATTCACAAATCATTTCTGTATTTTAAGCCATTTTTTAAATTACTTTAATCCCTCTTTGTCCAGCAAACAGCTTTACATCTGCATATGGTTTACACTGCGCTTTGAAAATACTGTGATTATTAATTCATTGCAATAATAAGAGAAAGTGCATATGCTCTTCACATGCATGTATGAACACAAACATGCAACACAAAGTAACCCCAGTACCTCCATTATCACTCTCACATTTAACTGCTGGTAGAACTTCAATAACTTTCAAAAATATCAACTTCAAAAACTGCATCTGCAGCCAAGCTGCAAAAATTCAACACTGCCAATTACTGATCAAGCCTATGCAACTGAATGAGGACCTATCAGTAACAGATTAACCAGATTAATGTGTATGTAACAGTCACAGCGTGGTACGCTGCTGCTGTTAGTTTCAAAGTTCACATATGAACTTCTTTTTATACTGTACACATGGTTTATGAATGAAGGCTAAGTGAAAGAGGAATTGAAGGGAAAAAAGGTAAGTGACATAATAAGAAATTAATCTAAGTGTAGACAGCTTACAGGAAAAAAAGAACAAATACTTGATCGTGATTTAAGAAAGGAATGCACAAATGCACGTCCACCATATCATATTATGCTACAGAAAAAGAATACAGTGTGCACCTAGACTGATGAATAGCTGATGATAACCATTTCATAAGGTGTCTTTTTAAAGAGTTACTATCAAAAAAAGGCAACAGATCATTGAAAAATCCACAAACACCTCACTGTGAATTAATAAGATCATAATGTACAATATTCAATGTTGCCTATAACAAAATTAGTACAATAGCTCCTGCATGTTTGGCTTTGTAGTGAAGTTATTTCAAGAGATTGATTTGGGCACAGATTTAATATGAGGGAGAAAGCTTGAACTGCACATGCAAAAAGCTAAATAAATTAATGACAGGAAACCCCATTCTAAAATTATCCACGATCTCTCTATGAGTACCTAAACATAGCATCATTAAAAAAAAAAAGTCTTTCTGAAGTTCAGGTGTCTCTGATAATTTAAAATCAACTAATTATTTGCCAATATGGTTTTCCATCTGAAACAGCTCTGAGTTTATTTAATCAGCCAGTAGTCCTGTCAGACAATTAACATGCACCAAAAATCCTTCAGATACTGGATTACAGCAAAGCACAAAGAGAATGAGAGGGCTTATTTATGAGCAATTATAGTAACTAGAAATAATACTTACCCATCTCCTCTCTCCATCCACCAGTCTATGCTTTTCTTTTCCACTAATTGTGCCATGAGTTTAAAAGTTTGTACAGTATACACTTCCAAAGTCTCACTTTCATACGGGGTTAGAACCTGCAGCATTGGCTATTTCAGCTCTTCTTTTTTTCATTAAGACATACTTCTTATATTTATCTGTATCAGAAAGCCCTTTTGGATTACTGTCTATTTCAACTGTAGTGATAGCTGATGAAAGATGTATTCTAAGCTGTTCTCTTCTGTGAAAAAGCACTCCTTTAAAAGCTACTTCTCCCTGACTACCTTTTTTTTTTTCACGCTAAAAACAAGTAAAGCTTTACTTCCTGAAACATGGTCACTTCATAACGGCAGCATGCATTTTTCACCATTCTCTTCTTCCTCACCTAATTTCCTCCTTTTCGTAACTACTCTCCCCGCATGCCAATGCTGTTTTCCGCAGTTGTTTCCCAACTCCTCTCTTCCCTCCCTTCTGTTGCCTCTCCTTAGCTTTATCTGTTTTATCGGTTCCTAACACTCTTCTCACATCTGATTCTTTCCCAGCTCTTCGATTTCTGCCAGTGTAGGAGTACAGCCTGTTAGGTTGCTCTTGTACCTGTGATACCTTCCATGGGGTCTTGTTATTTCTAAGAAGTAGACTGGGAAGGACAACAAAGATCCATCCTTGGATCAGACAAGAGGTATATGTGCTGTACTGAATGTCTATCTACACCACACACTCCTTCAAACATTTCAGGCAGGGAAGGATACTCAAAAGATACTGAATTTTGTGGGTTTTTGATGGATTTTTTTTTTTTTTTAAGTTCTCTCTAACTGCTCATGTTATTTGTTCTTCACTTAGTGACACAGGTTTGTGGATAAAAGCAGAGACAATGGCAGACAGCAATGAGATGACCATCAACCTTGTTGTCCTTGGAAGAACTCAGGCTGGCAAAAGCGCTGCTGGGAACAGCCTGCTGGGCAGCTCAGACTTTGAGAGTCATCGCTCCCCAAGCTCTGTGACTACGTGCTGCAGCCTTGGACGCAGCTGCCGCATTTTGGGGATTATACGAAGAAATGGCTGCGAGCTACCTCTCCGTGTTCGAGTACTTGACACTCCAAGCTACCCTCACAGTGGTCTGAGCAAAGAGCAGGTGAAAGACACAGTGAGATCAGCCCTGGTTCACCACTTTGGGGAGGAAGGCCTGCATCTAGCTCTCTTGGTCCTGAGGGCTGACTTGCCTCTGTGTCCGGATGAAAGCAATCAAGCAATTCAGTTCATCCAGGTAACAAATAAACAAACAGAAGTCTCTGCCCTAATGGCAACTCTTTTGCCTTCAGGTGACAATAGCTATGAAAGAGTTGACTGCAAAAGTGAAATAAGAGACATGCAGCTGAAAACTGGAACAATTTCCAGTGCAGCAGCTGAAACACACCATTCACAATTCCAACACCATAGCTACACTTACCGTACTAAACCTGAGCAGGCAGAGGGAAGAACTGCTCTTTTCTGTACATGGGCTTGGCACAAAGGAATTTAGGAACTACACTTACCTATCAAAGTAAGCTTTTCTCTCAGAAAAATAGTTAAAGCTTTATCATAACAGATCAAGCTTGTTGAAGAGAAATGCTATTTAAAGCAAGCAAAAGTCAGGCTACCTCACTCTCCTGCACTCTGTATAGGATCAAAAGCAGAGAGCAATGGGTCCAAAATCACACAGAAAGTCTGACTGATCTGGGACAAGGATGCTCTACTCTGTCCTGCACTGTCACTACTGCTGTATCAGTTAAAGAGAAAATAACTAGAAAGTTACATAAACTTACTCTGTCTAAGGAGAATTTCTAGCATAACTGACTTGAAGCAAGTATTTTGAAGCTCCTGGGGGAAACGTGGTGGGTTTTTTTGCAAGTAGGTAGGATATGTGGGGAGAGACACTGAAAAGGTATGGCTTTCTTTTCAGTTGGAGATTTTTCATTACCATGCATACATATCTTTGGAAAATTGGGGGGGGGGGGGGGCTCCTCATGCCAGCAGACAAATTTGTGGAAAAAGGGGGGGGGGGGGGGGCCACCAAGTGGATATTGCTCAGTTTATCGATCTGATCAGATGAATCAGGTTTGTATGATTTAGGAAGAAACCAAGGGTTTCAGTTATTGCTAAAGCCTGCACGTTACACTTCACATGTCTTACATTAATGAACTTTCTAAAAATCTTTAGGACTGCAAAGGACTTCCTGGTCCATCAAGTCTTATCACCTGCTGTAACTGATATTATCAAAATATATAATACATATGTAAATAAAAATAAACCAATATATAAATATATAGCTAGAAAAATAGCTTTCAAGTTGTGTTTAATTTGCTCTCCCATTCTTTCTGATTGCTCTCTATTAGTAGGTTACTCCTCACTTGTCCAGTAGTTTGAGAGTTGGTTCCAATTTTACCACACTCATTGTCAGTTTACATATATTAGTTTACAGTGCTACCCTTTTTCCTTATGCAGTTCACCATCTCTCTATATTTCATGGAATTTAAGAGAAAGTAGTATTTACTCTAAATATTTTTACTCTAAGCCAATGAAAAATCATCATGCTTCTAGTCTGAGATGGCTTTGGATGAAGTCCACGTGGGCATTAAAAGAGATGCCATCATGCTTTTTCTCTTTAAATGGAGCTTTAAAACCCCTGCTGGAAAGGAAATAAAGCTTGTTTAAAAATAATGAGAAGGCAACACCTACTTCTGTTTCATGATTACAACTGGCTCTCAGCTTACATAATGGTTGGCTTTTTAGTTATTTTCCCCTTAAAAGACCAGATGCTGTCATTTCATCAGCCACAAACAAACAGGGCAGGACAGCTGCCTGGGTGACAGGAACGTGAACAGTAATGGTTATATTTCAGCATGTCATTCCAAAAAAACATTAACGTGAAGACTACCTTTAGTAATCAGGAGTTATCACAATAATCCTCTACAAATTAGGGATGCTGTATCAATGAAGTTGGCATATCAGTAGAAGACTACTGGCATTTGAATCTCTCTGGATTTTTTTATTTCAGTAACATAGCCTAATGAATTCAGAGAGTGGCAGCTACTGCTTTCAGAACTAACATTAGAATTGAGTTTGAGTCCTCAGCAAATCAAGGCACTATTCTCTCTCTCTCTCTCTCCAAAACTGATAACCCGACACTTCCTTAGACAGCTTATGCCAAAATTTTGTATGGGTTAGATATTTTTTTTTTTCATCGCTAGTGTCTAAACCAGATTAATTGCTATCAATACATCAGGTTTTTCTTATTCCCTTCTTATCTTGGGAGTAGAAATATGTCTTTTAAATCAGTTTTAAACACGTTGGTATTTAGGTTACAGAGTTAACATAATTGCAAAGTGGATTTTATTACCAAAGTAGGCTTCGTGTCATACACCAGTTACCATGATTGCACTAAAGTGATAAACTCATTTACATCTGTAAATGAAAGCCCAATCTCTTACTCATATTAAAATTTTCTGTACTCATTGACAAACAAAGCAGCTTGTTTTCTCCATTCCCCTCCATGAGATGAATCACAGCAATTAAAGAAACTCTCTAGCCCATCATTTCAGTTGATACATTTGATTCATGCTTTTCCTGAACTGCTAAGAGTAGTTCAGTTTTATGGGATACAGCTGGAATTGCAGTTAGTGTTACACAGAAATTCACCATTTATTTTTTCAACACAAGGTGATTTTGTGATTTAAAAAAAAAATTTTCAAAGTAGTGTAAAAAATGTACAAATAAGGATATGTGGGAGCTACTGATGTAAACTAATGTATGACACAGCTAAACAACCATTTTCCCTTATTTACAAAAACATTTTTTAATTGGAGAAACTCTGTTAACATCCATAGTAGGAGAACAGAGAATTGCTAGTACTGCACAACCACATATTTCCACTGAAAGTGGACGTCAATGTCTTGGAAGGTGACAACCCCCAGAAATTTCAGCAACTCATAGTATGAACTGGATTATTGCCAGGGAAAGAACATGTAACTGGTCTGTTAATGCAGAAGTATATGAGGTGGGAGTGGGAAAAAGGAACAAGAAAAAATAACTATTCAGGATTTGGTTTTCATTACAGGAACTTCTGGGTCCCACATGGAAGGATTTCACTGCAGTTCTACTTACTCATGCAGACAAGGCAGAAGAGGCTGGATTCAGTGAGGAAGCGTATTTGCTCAGTGCCTCAAGTACCCTGCTGTCACTTTTGAGCTCAGTACAGCATAAATACATTTTTCTAGACAACCAGAAGAGCTTCATTAAAGAGGAAAGAGCTATTGTCTTAAGAAAGCTCTTGAATTTTATGAGACAAAATAATTACCAAGTGCTTCTTAAACACAGCAAGCAATAAAATTAGCTTTCAGGTGCTCATTCGTCTATTTTCTATGGCAGGTAACATTTCACAGAAATAAAACAGTAGAAGCCATCAAGTGGAGAATTCCACATCCATATCAAATACTTTTAAACACACAGTTGGAAATATCTCTTTGGATTACCAAACCACTTGCCTTTCATAGAGTACCTCACACTACTGCATCCAGTATCCTAGCTTCAATCACAAAATCAGAAAGAGCTAGTGCTCTAAATCACGATCCTAAGGTTTATGTGGTGCCAAATGAAACTTTACGCTACACTGGACTTTATATTGCAGCTCTAACAGAACACACATCTGGAAGAAAAAAAAAAAATAAAAAAAAGCACATGCATTCAGAGTGTAAGGGAGCCTCTTTGCTCAGTTCTTCAAGCTTTCAGAAGTTCCTCTGAATTCCAAAGTTTGTAAGGAGCTTTCCAGTATTAAAAGCTAAGATTTATTTACTGTAAAAGTAATTCCTTACCTTGATTCAGGATTACAGAGAGTTGACATTTTGAACTTTATTTTGTTTAATAAGATGTTACTGGATAAGTAGTTTACAAGGCAGATAAAATAGCTCCTGTGTGCTTAATGCTATTCGCCACACTTAAAAGAACTAATTACTATTGCTTATTCCCAGATGCATGAAAAATTCATAGTTTATAGGTATATACAAAACTCATTAGGAAGAAGAAATCTCTTCACCTCTTCATTTGTGCCTGTTCCTTTTAATTTTATATTGTTGTCATTTTATTCTCTCTCCCAGTTTACTGGATGAAGTTCAAAGGCTGCAAAATCCAGAGTGGCTACGTTTTCTTTACTTCAGTGGTTAAAAAAGCACTTACTATTTCCATGGTTAGACAGTAACCAGTTAATTATACGTCAAAATATCTGAAATATCTCTAAATAGTTACCTAAAAACTTTACTGTAAATTGAACTAAAATAGTTCTTTTCAGATTATTAAAAGGGAGGAATTAAAAAAAAGTAATTTGAGGCTACTACCATAGCAACCATGACTACTTGTAGTACACTATTATGGAATAATTCTAACTGTAAAAACTGAAGAAGCTATTTCTGTTAAAACCAAAGCATATTTTGTACAAAAAATCATTGCATAAAAATACATTAAAACCAAAAATAAATTAATTTTATACCTGTTTGGGCATTGGAAATGGATTTTTTTTTTGGTAGTGTTTGACTGGCTTTGGCCATCTATTTGCTATTCATTCTTTCTTAATACTATGAAACATCTGGAAGGAAATTTCTAGGTGGACTACATAAAAAACTATTTTAGCAAAGTGACAGCTTTGATCTTGTAACAGCTTAACTGTGGGACATTAAAGTACATCCATTTGTATATCTGAGGGCATAAAAGGCCACAGTTTAACCTTCCCATTACAATTGTCTGCAGACTACTGAGAAAACACAGCCAAGAATAAAGTTGCAGAGGGTTATAATATATCTGAAAATTTCTTGAAAGAAGAGGAGAAAAACTATTAAAAGGTGACTAGAAGAATGAAGATGATGGTGGTCTTCATTGACCAACTGCTAGTCCTGCACCTCTTGGAGAGCAGTTAGTACACAAGGAACACGGCAGAATTTTCTTCTTATTGAGATGCTCTTGCTCCATAGAACCTCTAAACCTATTAGCTGTCCAGAAAATATGCTTGCCTGCCTGTAGTTCTAACATGAACAAGCTTTGGCAATTAAGTCTTGCGCAGAGTGGTTAAAAACTGTCAACAACACTTAACCTCAAGGACTGTAAGCATGGTAAATGAGTGAACTGTGAAAATGCTGGAGGCATAACACATTCTGTACCTCTGGAAGAGGAGTCAAACCAAAAAGGTAGTAGTCATGCATTTTGGAGGAGTAATATATTCATGTTTTTTTATTGTGCTTGCATTACTTTCCATTTCAACATCTGAAAAGGCTTCTAATCATCATTTATTTATTTAATTCCGCTGTTTGCCATGGTCTCTGCCCTGCAGACTCCTTTCCCTTTCACTTCAAATGGAACTCCTTTGTACATAGCAACACACTGGTCATTGGTATGAAGATCAGGTTGGATTTGCTCCCAAATCTTCTTCTTGGGATTAAGTTCCTTCTCAGGATCTCCTGTTTAAAAACAAAGAACAACCTAATAGCACACAACATAGCAGGCAGAGCAAGAGCTTTACATATGTACACATCTGTGACAGCCCACATAGCATCACTGCACACACTTTTAAGGGAAAAAAACATTACCTGCAATTCTCAACACAAAAACTTTAACTGGAATTAGGGATTGTCCAGGAAATGTCTCCAGAATCTGTGTCAAAATGCTGGTCTATCAAGGAGGAAAAAAATGTTGAGTAGCAGACCACAAATGCTGCCAAAAGGAAGAAATCAAACCATTGCTAGTTGTTTTATAAATTTACTAGAGACCAAAAGGATTACAAAGAATTATGTAGATGTGGACCACAGAAATACGCTACTCCCCAAGACACAGGTTTGTCGGCATCTTAAGGTCAGGAATTGATGAATTTTTATAAGCAATTAATACCAAGTGAATTTGGTAGGTGCCTTTATAGTTGAGAAATATTGAACTTAGACAAAAATAGTCCAAAATTAGGATACTGACATGTAATTTTAGCCTCAGGTTTCAACACTGTTCTGCTACTTTTTCTACTATCCGATGACAAGCTCTGGTGCCTAGAATAACAGCTTGTATTTCAGCAATTATGGCCGCAGTCGAATAAGCCTCAGTTACCTGTTTCTGTGTTTATTGTACACAATAAGCTACCTACCCCCTAGAGGTATTGACAGTCTAACTGCATTAGCAAATCTGAGTACTTAAGGATGTCCAATGACCACAAAATGCAGGTTTCTTCTACTACTGTTTCGAAATACTGCTAACAAATTACATAGAATAGCGAAGTATTTCAGAGTCATATTTCTCCTATTTTTAAATAGGCATGAAATGCAAAGGATAGGAACAAAACAACTACAAGTTTTCATTTAAAAAGTTATTTCATCTTAATGCTGTCAAGGTGCTCTTGACTTCCTGTGCGTAACACAGGACAAACAAAATACCCACAAGATTTGTTTTAAATATAATTAGAGCACATTTAAATGCTGAAGGGAATCCTCTGCTGTTTCATTACTGATATACTATACTTTTTTTTAAACTTGCTTGGAGTGCCATATTGGCACCATTCTGCCCAAACTATCAAAATCTTAAGTTCCAAAACAAGCAAAAACAAAAAAACCAAATCCTAGAAAACAGATCCTCCCTGAGGAGCCAGGATTTCCTAAGGGCAAATGAGGAGTTCTTCAAGTGAACAAAATGTCAAGTACTCTCATATTCAACCACTCAGTGTCCCCAAAGGTTCAGGAAGCAAACCTATAAGGCTACGGGGATTGTAGCTTCTAGTAGCTGGTTGAAATTCATTACTGCTTGGTGTATTCCTGACTGAGAGACCAACAGGCCGTTAAACGAACCACTCTCATTCCAGCCTGCCTTCTTGTTTTTCTTTTCTACATGTTTTTAATGGTTCAATCTACTCACATTCTCAATGCTTGCAAAAGTAAGTTACTTTTGCCTGTACATGGGTCTAACTTCTATAACTGTATAAGAGGAGCAGACCAGGCCAGATTTCTCTGTTAGCCAGGCTAGCCTTGCAAGAACAAGATTCAATAATGCAGTCGAGTTAGTTCACAACCACAGTGCACTTAAACATTTAAAAGAAAAATCAGTAATACCATTAATAAATTAAACATTTAGAGCTAATTGTGCATTTTCACAAAAATAAAAATCCTGCTCAATGCTAAAGTTCAGGAACAAAGACAGACATGGATTTAGACCAAAGTGAATGCATACGAACTAATAAAATCATTAAACAGAACGTTAAATCATGCATCATGCATTTCCTTCACCCTCCTCAAATATAAAAGGCAAGTGAATTTTTTCAGTAAGAAAAAATCCTGACTTTTATTATAAAAACACGCTTTGGATGTTAAGAAGTTTCTTTGGAATCCTGCATCATGCTCCCTTGGGATCTGTGGTGAGCTCAGATTAGATTAGCATAGGCACTGAGTTTAAATACTACCAGAGCTTTAGGCTGTGGACTTTTCTATGACTTCTCCTCACTGCATTCCTTCTTCCCAGAAAATATTCTTTAGAAGGTTTTATATAATTAAAATAAGTTTAAACTTGTAATAGTTTAATGAGCTTCCCACTGTCTTTACAGGAAAAGAACCAAATAAGAGGTCTCAAATTTTGTTAAACATGCCATTTGTTCCAGCAGATACATATTACAAAAGAAATTCTCATAATAAGCAAGAAACCTCTCCACTTTGTAACAGCTCAATAACTATTGAAAGAATATATCTCAGCGCAAAAGTTAATACCACTTAGCCCACTGTGGATTATAACTATGTAACCAAAGGAAAGCATCCATATACCAGGGCTTTGATTAAAGAAACCTGTTAAATACAGACTAACCATTGCACTACAGTTTTAGCACTTATCTTTTTTTAAAAAGAGATAGTTATTAACTAAATTGTCAGGGATTCTTAGACCAAACTGATTATTCAGTTATATAATTTAAATAACAGATTTGCAGGTCCTGTGGCATTTTTGCATTGAAGAATTTTGTCAAAGCACCAATTATATTGCTATTAGAAAGAAGCATTTTTCACAGCAAGCTGTGAAAAACGCAAGACTTATTGCTGTCTTATGGCAAGTACTCTGCAGGCGGGTTTAGTATTTACAGACATGCGATCGAATAATTTTTCGATGGCTTACGAATCACACATTTTGCCCCAAAAGGCAGACAGAAATTTGATAAAGTTCTTAATACAAAAGAGGACCAACAGATCTTGAAGATTCATGTACTGTAGAATAAAATGGTGTTCAAAGTTCCCCTAAGAGCAATGTCATCAAATAAACAAACAAAAAAAGAACACTCCTCCAGACAACAGCATTCCTTATCAAATCACTCCTCTAGGACATTTCAGATGGTTCTAGGAAAACTCCCAGGTTTCTGCAGAAAAAGTTCAATTGTTTTGAATCAAGATACTATTTGTTTACTTTGACTAAAATGATCAAGGAAAATAAGCCTGTATCTCATGAATATTTTGTATGGTGCAGCGAATAGGCTTAAAAATAATTTGATTCCTAGCAGCTTGATACAGTTGTGTTGCTTTATTATTGCTGCTGCAATTTCTGTTGCTTCATAAGCTTGCGTACTTCAACCTAAAACAAAGACCCAGCTGTCCTTTCTATTTTAATTTCAAGGACTCAAACTGAATCTTAATGCTTTAAAATTACTCCTTAAAAAAATTTTGATCAATCAGTTACAATTAAGCACTGAAATTAAATGACATCTGACATAGCAAGGATTCTACCCTCCTGATAACAGTATCAGTGAAACACCAGTTTGCCTTTCAGGAAGCAGAGGCTAAGAAGCATGTGAGATTTTAACACAAACCAAGCAGGAGATACAGATGTACAACCTAGTTAAAAATTGAGAGTTTCCCAGTCTCCCAGTGAGTTTATCCTCCAAGCAGTAAAAGAAGAAAAAAAAAAAACCACCACCAAACAAGCCACACAGCTGTTTAAAATGTAACCCACAAAGAAAAAAAAAAAAAAAAAAAAAAACCCCCCCCAAAAAAAGCCACACAGCTGTTTAAAATGGAGAAAAATTTAAAAAAAAAAACCAAAAAAACACAACAAACCCAAACCAGAAAAAGCAACAGGACAGGGAGAGCAGTTAACCAAACCCACCAGAAGTTGATAATCACTTGGACAAGAAGGTAAGTGGCAACAACCTTAGACTCTAGCTAAAACAAATTAAAAAAAAACCCCAAACCCTAAAGCAACCCCAAATCTACCAATGAACAGTGTTAATATCTTAGTTTCTTAAGTCTGTTGCATATTGCCAAGTACACAACAAATTAAGTTACAGAAGCAGATGTTAGAGTGGTTTTGTAAGTCTCCATCTATCAATGCTTTTTTTCTTGCCTTTCCCTGCC